TCAATAAAATTAAAAAATTTTAATCCGCTAGCGGTTTAGTACAAAAAGTTACATAAACTAGTTTTTTCAATCCGCTAACGATTTGAACTCTAACCGTTATCCACTAATCTTAAATCGCTAAATAAAAATTTTATCAAACACTTTATTTGTAGTGGTTTCAAAATATATAAATTTACCAAATATTTATATTTAGTGATTTAAGGAAAACTGTTAACCGTTACCCCAAAACTGCTATAGTAAACCGGCTCTTGTTTTGGAAGGCAAGAACTAGTATGTGTTATCTATATATATAAAAGTTCATTTTCTTATATTTATATAGTTGTATTTGTTTATTATTTATAACCAAAACTAAAATTAGGCCACTGTAAAAATAAATCGAACACATATATAAACCATTCTCAACAGCAATAAAATCCCCTAATTAGCAACCCTAAAATCACTGCATTTCTCCAGTACTCCATCGTTGCAAGCCTGCAACATCGGTTTCTGTGTAGTCACTCGTGATTTTTGTTGTAAATATAAACTCATATATTTTCATATATGCTTAAGAGGATACTATGTCTATATATTATCTATGAACTTAAGTATATACTGTTTAGTAATATGTTTAATTACATTTTAATTTACATAAAAAATTACAATATTCAACAATTATATAAATATACATACTGGTATATCTATACCCAATGGATTGGGCAATAGGCATAAATTTTTAATATGTAAATAAGTACTAGGTAAATAAACTTTAAAACTGCATATTTCGAATTAAGCACATATACCAGTAAATACATGACCCATTGTTAATTTGTTATTCTTGCTCACCGTTGTCCCTAACTGATCCAATACTTGGCTTCTCTTTTCAATGGAGGAGATTCCCTCGGGCTATTTAATTGGGCCAAATTGGGCCTATTAGAAAAGATGCATGTTCTTTATAAGTATCCTTGTGGACCCACCTACCATTCAACCGTAATAACTACCGGTCCTCTTCGTTGGGAAAGGCCGCCGAGTTTCTTTCCCCGATGCCACCAAAATTTCCCAAAACCTACCATGGAACCGACACAAATCCCACAGGGAAACTCAATTCCCAGCTGACTCGGTTTCAACTCACTCGCCACTATGCTCAAAGGCAAGCTCAAGCTCCCGGACCGCCTCGGCAGCTTAGTCAACGGCTTCGAGGACAGAGATGAGGAAAGCGGGGGTTCCAGTTCGGTTTTCGACTATGGAGAAGAGCTCGAGATCATTCAGCCCAATGGGTCTGGGTCAGGACGTGACAGTGAGGCAGATGATGAAGGGGATAAGGAGGAGGAGGTGATGGGGACGAGGAAGATGAAAATCGAGGAGGAACCGAATCACAAGGTCCGATTGAAACCCGATAAAGAAGGGTTTACCCCCGTTTCCGTTAATGAAGTTATAGAGGCTGATGAAAAGAGGTCCGATGTTATGTATGAGGTGAGAGATTGAATTTTCCTGTAATTTGAATATTCACTTCCTTTGAATGAATGTATTTCCTTTTTTCTAGTTGAATTTTGTAGTTTTTTGGGTGAAAGAGAAAATGTGGGAAAAAAAAAAGTGAAAATTAATTCTAAATTATCCGATCTGATTCTGTTTATTAATTTGAAGGAGAATGAAGAATTTAAATTAAGAATTTCTTTTCTTTCAATTTAACCCGTAATCTCTTTTTTTGGCAATCTTCCGTAAATCCCTTTTAATCTGGTTGTTTGTGTCATCAGCTTTCTCAGAAGGAGATAAATCTGGAAAAGTTGCAAAGAATTGCTAGCACAGGGCTTCCTGATGGAGGAGGTGTTCGCGCAACCGTTTGGAAGGTAGAATTTTCTTTTTCTTTTGCTTTATGTTCCCCCATGAGACAGATGCATTTTATTTATGTGTATGAAGTTATAGGACAGAGGACTATCCTAATGAAAGACAGAGAATAGGAAATTTTTCATGCTATAAAAGATCAATCAAGATGGATGATTTCTGTGCTTTTCATTATGTCTCCATATTGATGAAAGATGAGAGACTCGAGGCATTTTAAGTGATTTTCTTTTATTGTTATTAACTCCCAGACGCTTGAGTGGAAAGATTGGTTGTTGAAATCTCTGTATTGATGAACCACTAGAAAAGAGATGCAAATTGGGGCACGTTCTTCCTCCTCACCTCAGAGAGGTAGGATGGTTCTGAAGGAAGTCCTAAACTTGGTGCTAAACTGATTTTATAACCACGGGTATCTTCAGCAAAAAGAAGTCCTGAATTTGGTCCTTTAAGTTGTCTCCTCCGGTTTCAATTTTGTTCTGCCCACATAGAGATATAACCTTTGGTTAGTTATATGCAGCTAAAGATAGTTACTTGTAAAAAATTGTCTTTAGTTCCTTATCAAATCCTGAGCTTTCTCAACCTTGTTCAAGAAGAATGTTTCTAAGAGGCAAACAAAAAACCAGTGCAAAACATTTAGTTGCAATTTATGGCTCTTGTTGTTTTGTTTGGATTTTTCAAGCAAGTTGTCCCTTTTTTTCCATATAATTCAAAAGCTTGCTCCGCTATGTTACCTATTCAAGGATGCAAAATTTTGATATTTAAATCCTAAGATTGGCACCTTAATTCTGGATACAGTAATGCAAGAAATCATAGTTATCCATCTGCTGAACAACTAAGCACTTTAATTAGCATTTAACTGATGAACTAAGGTTCCATGATTCAGATGATTAATAAATGGTTTTGTGGCATTGTGAAACGGGAGTACTTGTACACCATTGTGATACTTAAATGTTTCCAGATGATTAATAAATGGCTTTGTGGCATTATGAAACGTGAGCACTTGTACACCATAGTGATACTGAAATGTTTCACAAAAATATAATGACAACTTAAACTTCTTCCAGTCATAAGAATTGATGTGCTCTACCTATTTGCTTCATTCTGGCAGCTTCTCCTTGGTTATTTACCTCCATCTCGAGACTTGTGGGAAAAGGAGCTGACTGAAAATCGACTGAAATATGCGAAGTTAAAAGAGGAGCTCTTATTAACTCCTGTAAGATGATGCTGGTACCTATTCACTGTATGTACTTGGTAGATTTATTAATTTAGTTTTAGGTGAACTTCTTCCTTGTATAGCACGTTTGTTTATTTCCTCAATGGTTACTTAGCTAATCAAAATCTTGAATCTAGACAGTCAGAACTTGCAAGGATGAAAGATGAAGCTGAAAGGTCCAACGAGCACAGTGGTGAAGGTATTGTTAATGGACCACTTAGGCGGCATGAAATTTCTCACGAAGATCACCCTCTAAGCCTTGGTAAGGCAAGTCTTTGGCATCAATACTTCCAGGTAAATCTCTTCTCCATTTTAAGGTGTCGCCTAAATTTCTTGTGCAAGACTTGATTAGTTGATGTTATCATAATGATCAAATTGCCTTCTAGTATACAGAGATTGCAGAACAGATTGACCGTGATTTGCAGAGAACACATCCAGATATGAAATTTTTCTCAGGAGATTCATCATTCAGTAGGAAGAACAGGGTATACCATCCATCCCTTATGTTCTTTCCATTGTTTCTAAAAGTTTCAGTTTCAAAAATTTGAAACTCAAACTGAATGGTGTAATGTGTTTGGATATGCAGGAAGCAATGAGGAATATTCTTCTTCTATTTGCAAAACTAAATCCAGCCATTCAGTATGTTCAAGGCATGAATGAGATCTTGGCACCAATTTACTATGTATTTAGTGCTGATCCAATTGAGAAGAATGCTGTAAGATTCACTACTTCATTCTAAAGTTTCTGTCTTTAAAGTTGATAAATTTTAAATAAAGATATGAAAGTGAGATGTGAAGTCAAGAATGAAGAACACAAGACATAATGTGGTGCAACCATTTGCCTACATCCATGGAACAAAATGTCATAGGGGTCACAAGATATACTTCTATGAACCTAACCTTTTGGTTCAATATGATGTCTAACGTGTATATGTTGGGCCTTAGGCCCTTAGCTTGTGCTCCAATTGAACCCTACACCCCACAACAATAATTAGAAGAAACTAGGGGATTGTAATAACATTAACCTGAAATTTGAACTAGATCTTGATTGTTTCTTTATCTTCATAACTATCTTCCTGATTTTGTGAAGGATACACAGTTGGCTAACAGAATGTTTTATGTACTCAGGCAAATGCAGAAGCTGATAGTTTTACTTGTTTTGTTCGACTCTTGGGTGACTCAGTGGATCACTTCTGTCAACAATTGGATAATAGTTCAGTAGGCATCCTGTCCACTCTTTCACGCTTGTCAGAGTTATTGAAAGCTAATGATGAGCAATTATGGCGGCACCTTGAATTAACATCTAAGGCAAGTTTAATGGAGTTAAAATATTCTGCTTTGTTTAATTTTATTAAGTACCACATAATGCTTTGGCCGGATACATAAAATTTCTGTTTGCTTGTTCAACCCATATTGTAAACTTTCCTTGGTATCAGAAATGACTCTTATATCATGTATCCTGACGAGCAGGTTAAGCCTCAGTTCTATGCATTCAGATGGATCACTTTGCTACTTACTCAAGAATTCAGTTTCCATTCTATCTTAAGAATTTGGGACACTCTTTTGAGTAACCCTTTTGGTGTACAGGTCCCTTTCTCCACCTGAAAAAACTAATATCCTTTTCACTCACTTCTTAGTTCTACTAACTGATAGCAAACTCAAACTTTGATGCAGGATATGCTTCTCCGCGTCTGTTGTGCTATGTTGTTGTGTGTGAAAAGCAGGCTTTTGAGTGGTGATTTTGCAGCTAACTTAAATTTACTTCAACACTACCCTAAGATCAATATAGAACACCTTCTACGAGTAGCCCAGGAACTCAGTCCCGACACAACTTCCTACCGCTTGTCTTTGTAAATTTCATGACTTCATATATGTGTGCCTGCTTCTGTGTTCATTTTACAAAATTACCTCGTAACACTGTCCGTACTAGTGAACAACTTCAAGTTGTGAAATCAGACCTGATCATCCTATTTCATGGAAAAAAACGATTGATCGGAATCCATATTTTATTATCTACAGCTTCCTTTTCTTTAATCCATCATGAGAAATGGTACAGATAAGGATCCAACTTTGCCATTTTTTAATTGGAATTAATTAATTAATTAATCAGTTGTTATGACTAAAGAAGCTTCATTGAACTTGAATGTGTCAATACTACTGAAAGAAACCATCAAGTTAACGGCTAGGTGTTCCCTGATGCCTCTACTAATTGCAATTTAGAAAGGAAAAAAAAATGGCATGTATACTCTTTGATAGTAAGTATCTTGTGTATTGGTTGAATGGGTCGGAGACTCGGAGGTTCACTGGTAGTTAGGTCTTGAACAAAGGTTGCTTCTAAAAGACCTGAAGAGCTGACCAATTATATATTCTATCAACTCTAGTTAATGGAGTTAGTTAAGGAAATGAGGCAATTTGTGACATATGTAAACATAAATTAAGACTATCGAGTAGCATGGAAACATAAGTTGAAAGGAAGATGCTGATCTTGGTTTGTTATTACAGAAGTCCGTGAAACCATAGACAAAGTCACAAAGTTTTCAAACACAAGCAGAAGAATTTGAAAATCTTGCAAAACATTTTTTAGAAGGCACGAAACATTGGGTCCTTGTCGTCATCGACTTGTCTGATATCTGAGTTGCATTTAACAAATGCTTCTTTTTTCACGCCTTAACATCAGCATTCAGTGGATGTAAATATTAAATCCATCTGCTATACAGCTATCATGTATCTGTGTTCTACCTGCTAAAGCCTCGCCGGCAATATTTTAAATTAGGTTTTTTTAATATATACTTTAAAGGTATTTTTTTTAACATAAATGTATATAAAAATAATATATAAAAGTTGACATTAATTTTAATTTAAGTGTAAAGTGGATTAATTTAATTAAATAGTTAATAAATTAAAAGTCAATTTTTATTTTTTTAAACCAAATTTATGACAAAATGTATATTTATCACCTTTAAGATAAAAATTAAAAAAACCCTTTTAAATTTATTTTTACTTCTAACCGAACGGATTTGCATTGCTTCTCTGCATATATTAGTTCTCAAGGATGATCCAATATGTATTATTGGATCCAGCCCTCCCTCTGTCAGCAATTTCAGGCACTAGACATTTATTAGAGGCGGAGTTGAATCATGATTTTGCTTCATGGAACACTTCATGTGACAATCTATGAGGTTGACAGGATTTCTCAGAACGGGTGTTGTAACTTCTTCTGCAAGGTATGGATGTTCATTTTCATCTGGTTAATTTTCACCACCATAAGTTGTTGACTTTTAGATTTCTTCTTTCATTTCATTATGTGTTAATTGTTGATATTTTTCTAGAGGTTTCTTGTAGATATATATTGCATAAGATTAGATCAATCTCGGAATAATCTTATATGTAAGGCACGAATTCAGTCCATTTCCTTTGCACTCCTGTCATTCTGAAAAAAATTTGTACAGATTTTGCATTATTAGCTGACTTCCATACCATGATTAACATAAACAGGTTTCAAACTGTGTATTGTATGAAACTTGATTTATCATTTCAAATTGCTCTGTTTATTATAAAACTGAAATGAGAAATTTGATTCGTTTTCTTGTAGCTACTGGAAAACATTGATGGGAGTCTGGAAAAAGGATTTTCTAAACTCTATGTTACCATTGATGTAGAAAAAACTAGAGTAGGCCGAACCAGGCTGTTGGAAAATGATGACTCTTCTAATCTGCAATGGAATGAGTCTTTTCACATCTATTGTGCCCACAAGGCTTTAAATGTTGTGTTTTCTATCAAAGAAGAAAAGCCTTTAGGTGCAGCGGTGATTGGGAGAGCTTATTTGCCTGCTGAAGAGTTGCTAAATGGAGAAGTAGAGAAATGGCTTAAGATTGTGAATAAAAGGAATAAATCCCTACATAGACGTCCTAAAATCCATGTCAAAGTACATTTTTTCGATGTGACAAGAAATTCCAACTGGTCTCAAGGAATAAAGAGTCCTAAGTTTCCTGGAGTTCCATACACATTCTTTCCTCAGAGAAATGGTTGCAAAGTTACCCTTTACCAGGATGCTCATACCCCTAATGGATTCATCCCCAAAATCCCCCTAGCGGGGGGAAAGTGTTTTGAAGCACAGGGGTGTTGGGAGGATATCTTCAATGCCATCTCTAATGCAAAGCACATGGTTTATATTACAGGATGGTCTATATATGCAAAAGTCACCTTGATAAGGGACTTGAGGAGGCAAAAACCCGGGTGGGATTTAACACTTGGGGAGCTTCTTAAGAAGAAGGCAAGTGAAGGTGTTAAGGTGTTGATGCTTGTTTGGGATGATAGAACTTCTATCAAGCTGCTTAAGAATGATGGAGTAATGGTCACTCATGATGAAGACACTGAAGCTTTCTTCCATAACACTGGAGTCCATTGCATTTTGTGTCCTCGGAATCCTGATAACTTGTATAGCATTGTTCAAGACATAGAGATTGCTACAATGTTTACTCACCATCAGAAGATTGTGGTGGTAGACAGTGGGATGCCAAATGAGGAATCAAAAAAAAGGAGGATAGTGAGCTTCATTGGAGGATTTGATCTTTGTGATGGAAGATATGATACTCCTTTTCATTCCCTTTTCCAAACTATAAGCACTGTCCACCATGACGATTTTCATCAGCCTTCTATCCCTGGTGCCTCAATTTCTAAAGGAGGGCCTAGGGAGCCTTGGCATGATATCCACTGTCGCTTAGAAGGTCCAGTTGCTTGGGATGTGTTATTCAATTTTGAGCAAAGATGGAATAAACAAGGAGGGAAGAAGGATTTGCTGGTTGAATTAAGAGAATTAAATAACATTTTCATTCCACCATCTCAGGTAATGTTCCCTGATGACCATGAAACTTGGAATGTTCAATTGTTTCGATCTATTGATGGAGGAGCTACATTTGGCTTCCCTACTGCTCCAGAAGATGCAGCCAGAGCTGGTCTTGTTAGCGGAAAAGATCATATCATAGACAGAAGTGTACAAGATGCATATATCAATGCCATTCGTCGAGCTAAGAATTTCATCTACATTGAAAATCAATATTTCATTGGAAGCTCTTTCAGTTGGGTCTCAAAAGATCTTAAGCTAGAAGAAGTTGGTGCTTTGAATCTTATTCCAAAGGAACTATCGTTAAAGATAGTTAGTAAGATTGAAGCAGGTGAGAGATTTACTGTCTATGTTGTCATTCCAATGTGGCCAGAAGGTATCCCACATAGTCAATCTGTTCAGGCTATGTTGAATTGGCAAAAAAGAACCATGGAGATGATGTTCATTGATATAGTTGAGGCCCTAAGGGCCAAAGGACTTGAGGCAAACCCTAAAGAGTACTTAACTTTTTTTTGCCTTGGAAATAGAGAAAAAAAGAAAAATGGGGAGTATAAACCTTCAGAAAAACCTGAACAAAATTCAGAATATAGTAAAGCTCAACAGTCTAGGCGTTTTATGATCTATGTTCATGCCAAGATGATGATTGGTAAGTTGAATTCAACTAATCTTACTCAGAAATTACGTGCTTAATCTACAAGAAAAACTTCATGCAGATGATAAAATGCTAATAAGTGAAATGCCATTTGTAGTTGATGATGAGTACATTATCATTGGATCAGCCAACCTGAACCAGAGGTCAATGGATGGAGCAAGGGACACAGAAATTGCCATGGGAGCCTATCAGCCATTTCACTTAACAAGTAAGCAGGTGTCAGCAAGGGGTCGAATACATGGCATGCGTATGGTATTATGGTATGAGCATTTAGGTAGGCTTGATAACGCCTTTCTACAACCAGAGAGCTTGGACTGTGTCCAAAAGGTGAACCAAATTGCTAAAGATAACTGGGGTCTCTACTCACAAGAGGCATTAGAACATGACCTCCCTGGCCATCTCCTGAGTTATCCCATTGCAGTTGCTAGTAATGGAGAGGTTGTAGAGTTTCCAAGATTAGAGCACTTCCCAGACACCAAGGCTCGCATCCTTGGAGCCAAATCTGAAATACTTCCTTCAATCATGACAAGTTAAATTTCTTTTCATTAGCTCATTCTAATTCAAGTTTTCAATTTTTTGAGTTCGTGGAATAAAGTAACGGTGATTCGATGAAGCAAAAGCAAATAAGTACTGATCTTTTGTGTTTAGTATAGAGGTTTGAGTTTCAATACAAGATTTGCATTTAATGTAAAATCAATTAGTAATAGTTGAAGTAACATTCCATGTATTTACTCCCTTTATCTCAAAATAATTGTTTTTTTTTTTTTTACTTTTTCTTCAAATTAAGGATTTAAAGACAATTTCTGCATTTAATTATATATATTACCCTTAAAAAAATTAAAGATAGAGATTGATATTTTGGGATAAAATGATTAATTAAAGTAAATGAATAATAATAAGATCAATTATATGTTTGAGTCAAGGGGAATGGAGGGAAGGGGAACTTTATCCTTCCATTCCCCTCCATCTTCCTTGCCTCCCTTTCCAATAAAAAAAAGGTTAAACCCTCATTTTGGTCCCTGAACTATTGTATGGACCCTCGATTTAATCCCTCAACTCAAAAAATTCTTGATTTGGTGCTTACTGTTTACCGTTTTAGCCTTGATTTGGTCTTTTTATTAATTTTTTCACGTTAATTGATAGAATAGGCATTACGTGTTTAAAAATTTCACACAAAAATTGACAAGTTAGCAAAAATAAATGACATGGCCATTCCAACTCATTTTTCAGCCCCTTTTTTTCGTTCCTCTTTTTCCTCTTTCCCTTTCTCTTTCCTCTTCCTTTTCTTCAACTTCTACAAACCCTAACATCTCAACCAAACTATACATCTCAACCAATCTCCACCCTTGCTAGGTATTTCATCATTATCAAACAACAAAAGCCACAAAAAAATAGAAATTTTTCTTTTTATTTTTTGCCCTTGGGTTCTTTCAAACCTAGGCATGCTGGGTTCCATCAAACCTAGGCATGCACCATGTCTTTTTCCTTCCTCTTCCTTGCCTTCTTCATCAATCAATTCTTCATTATCATCAAATAACAAAAC